TCCTAAGTATTTTAATTTTTTGCAGCTGTCATAAAAAGAGATTGCATTCTTAACTTGGTTCTCAGCTTGGTCATTGTTGGTGTATAGCAGTGCTACTGATTTGTATACATTGATTTTGTATCCTGGGACTTTACTGAATTCATTTATCAGATCTAAGAGCTTTTTGGATGAGTCTTTAGGGTTTTTTAGGTATATGATCATATCATTGGCGGACAGCAACAGTTTGACTTCCTGTGTTCCAATTTGGATGCCCTTTATTTCTTTCTCTTGTCTGATTGCTCTGGCTAGGACTTCCAGCACTATGTTGAATAGAAAGTGGGCATCCTTCTCTTGTTCCAGTTCTCAGGGGGAATGCTTTCAACTTTTTATGTGAACATATTTTAAAACCACAACAGGTGGATACTGATTTTCTGCTCTCAACTTACCTGGCACGTGTAGAGCCACAGAAGACATACCAGCAAAGGTGGCAAAACACTTCTGGGAATGCCTGGTATTACGCAGCTATGAGATCTTGTTCCCTGTCCTCCCTAAACACTTTTGGGTTGGTGATGTAGCCACACTCTGGCCAAAATGGATGCTCACTAGCAAGAACTTTTAGTTTCAGGTGAAAGAGTTGGGAAAGGAGCTTTCGCCCAGCAAATCAGATCTTCAGCCAGCCTGTACTGACATACCTGTATTTGTCACACAAGGATAATGTTTATCTCTCTAATTTTCAGAACATTATCAGGCATCTGAGAGGTACCACCTGGTTGACTGTAACACAAAGTATTTTGCCCAAATGAAAATCGTGGAAAAATTCAACACTGGTCAGTATAGAATGCGCATGCTCGTAAAGTCTAAATATTTGCTTCCTCTTGACTCCCATGTGAGTTGCTTAGGTAGATTTCTGGCTTGGGTTCAGAATGAAACTAAAAGTACAAAGAGCATCTTTGCCTGGCTCAGGATGTTCTCAGTTTTTAATGAGATGGGAACTCCCAAATGGACTACAATTGGTTGTCCAACCTAGGATGGTTTAAGGGAAAGGAAAGGAAGTTTCTTTAGAACAGTGGTTCTCAATGATACCGAGACCAACAGCGACAGCACCACCTAGAACCCTGTTAGAAATGTAAATTCTCAGTCCCACCTGGAACTACGAAATCAGCAGCTCCAGGGTGAGGCCCAGCAATCTGTGTTTTAACAAACTTTTCTAAAATATGCTTGAGTTTGAGAAACACTGCTTCAAAAAAAAAGTCCTACACACAGCTCATTGCATGTAATTTAATAATAACTCAGTAAAGTAGCTGGGCTGGATACTTTCACTTATTATTGTTCATGCATAAACACACCAGCACAGAAACTGCACAGAGAGATCAGGACACAGGACACACATAGCACAATGAATGGCATAGACAACCATTCATAGATTAAGTACCAAAGCCCAAACCCCCTGACCCCTGAGAGTGGAAAATGTCTAGTGTCCTTTCAAGAAGGGTAAGGGCTGGGCACAGTGGCTCATGCCTGTAATCCCAGCCCTTTGGGAGGCCAAGGCAGGCAGATCCGTTGAGCCCATGAGTTCAAGACCAGCCTGGGCAACATGGTGAAACCCCATCTCTACAAAAAATACAAAAATTAGCCGGGCATGGTGGCACACTCCTACAGTCCCAGCTACTTGGGAGGCTGAGATGGATCACTTGAACCTGGGAGGTAGAGGCTGCAGTGAGCACCACTGCATTCCAGCCTGGGTGACACAGTGAGTCCCTGTCTCAGAAAAAAAGAAAGAAGGGTAAGGAAGAGAATGGGAAAGGGGACAGACAGAGTAGAGAAATAGGAGGAGGAGGAAGAAAAAGGATAAAATACAGTGTATTTTCAAACACGATTTCATGAGACACAAAGTCTTTCTAAAGACAATCAGAATTCAAATGCCAGTGATCTTCACAGGAATCTTAATAAGAAAGTTAAAAATTTTTAATAATTGTATGGCTCATGAAACTCTTCATGACTGAGGGTGTTGCTCACATCCTTAAAAGGATAAACATCCCACTAGAGATGCATCTGGCACTTTAGAACTTTCTCCCAAACAGCTCGTTTGCTTTTATCTCGTGGACACTGTGAAGGGAATTGTTGATTATGTTTCCTTCTTCCAGAAAACGCAGACTCAAATTAGCAAGTGAACATCAATCAGCCTTTGGTATGAGAGCCTCACGTGGCTTTGCCTCATGTTTCCTGCCTTTATTTCCCCTGCCTGGGTGTCCTCCTTTGCTGCACTGTTTTTGTTTTTGTCAGATATTTCAAATCCTTTTAGGAATGAGGCTGACAATAAGGAAATACATTTAAAAGTGGGGGAGAAAAGAGAAAGGCTCTCTCCCCAAGCAAACTTGAAACCTGGGAGGAAGGGCAGTCAAGGCGTGACAGCCATGGGTCCAGTCAGGTGGAGAAGCCCAAGGGGGCTGGCCGATGCTGAGGGCAGTGGGCGCGAGGCAGCTTCTTTGCCTCTGGTGGAAGGTGGATGGGCGAGCCTGAAGGCAGGAGCAGAAAGGGGAAGGACAGCTATTAGTGGCTGAAAAGCTCTTTGCTCAAGTTGTTTCCTGGGGTTAGGAAAAGGGAGTATGGAGAAGGAATTTGTGTCTTTTTTCTATTTTTTTTCGAGACGGAGTTTCGCTCTGTCGCCCAGGCTGGAGTGCAGCAGTACAATCTCAGCTCACTGCAATCTCCACCTCTCGGGTTCAAGAGATTCCCCTGCTTCAGCCTCCTGAGTAACTGGAATTACAGGTGCCCACCACCACAGCTGTCTAATTTTTGTATTTTTAGTAAAGACAGGATTTCACCACACTGGCCAGGCGGGTCTCAAACTCCTGACCTCAGGTGATCCACCTACCTCGGCCTCCCAAAGTGCTAGGATTACAGACGTGAGCCACAGCACCCAGTAGAATCTGTATCTTATAGATGGGCTGATCTCTGTCTTCCTTAGCCTCCTCCCTTTGAGACTAAGTCAATATCCATACAGGATTGGTCAGCCTGATGCAGGCACTGCGGATCCAAGCATTCCTCCCTGTTGGTGTAATGCACCAGGTACAGATCCAGACCACCCTGGTTCCACTCTGCTCAGAGTTCCCAGGGAGATGGGCCAGTGGCATCAGAGCAGATGATTAGAGCACCTGTTCAGGTCTGGTGCAAAATCTGAGAAAATACTTGGTTTGATTTCCTATCTGGTTTGGAATGGGTAGAAGGGTATTTTCCTTGGATAGCTATGTTGGAGGGACTTATTTCAGCTCTAAAGTGGTCTGATTGGACAGAACCTGGGAATCAACCACAAGCAGGGGCTGTTTGGAGCTGCCCTTTCCACCAGCCAGCAGTGCCTCCCAGGAAAACTTCCATAAGCAGCTCCATCAGGACTGCAGTGCCAACCTTGACCAGTCACTTCTGAGTCCAGTTACATCCATAATGACATTTCTCCACTGCCCCCTTTGTCCCCGGAGCATGACAGATGAGGGGCTTCAAGGAACAAGTCCCCGAGCTGTGATGGGAATCTGTCTTGCTCCGCTGCAGAAAGAATATATATTCCTGAACAGCTGTGAGGAATTCTTTTATTAGTCATCTGCATCTTACTGCTAGTCTTCGCTTCCTCTTTTTAGAATAAAAAATGAAAACAGATTAAATGTCATATTCTGACAATGATTGTTTTCAAACACCCAGGCTAGGAAAGGAGAGGTGACAGAGAGAACACTAGAGAGAGAGAACAGAGCCATGGGCCATGGAGACAAAAAGGGAAAACTGTCCCTGCATGGGGGCGGGGCACAAGGGAGGGTCCCAGGGTGGACGGATCTGCACAGTGACCACATAGGCTCAGCTCAAGGCTGAATGCTTATGTTCTAAAGCTTTTCATCGGGAGCAATTTACAACCATTCAGAAATCAGACTGGAGAAGCTATGTGGAGAGGAGAAAGTAAATTACACCATAAACAGAAATATTCACAGGGCAAAGAAAGTGCAGATAGACACCCAAAGATCATATACTCAGCGTTGTCCACATTGGAGAAGAAACTGCAGGGTCTGTTGAGAAGGTATACACCCTTTGGCGGGTCTCACATGAAGATGCTTGCCTCTCCAGAAAATCACCCTAAGGCTAATGTGGGCAGGCTGCAAGGAGATCATGGGGGAAGGTGAGAGGAAGTGAAGCAATTGTCAGAGAATGCCACAATCAGCCTGGCTGGAAGGAGGGCCTGATGTGGCCCTCCCTCAACTAGTGCACCTCAACTAGTGCTGACGTGGGTCACAAAACCACCTCAGAAGCAAAGGATAGTGAAGTTCAACCATCTGGTCAATGACCAGAGGACTCATTCAGCTAAAAGCACAGTGCCTGATCCGGTCTTAACTAGCCTTCACGTTTGGTCATTATATTAGTTCATTTTTACACTGTTAATAAAAACATACCCAAGACTGGGTAATTATAAAGAAAAAGAGATTTAATGGATTCACAGTTCCACATGGCTGGGGAAGACTCACAATCATGGCAGAAAGCAAAGGAGAAGCAAAGGCATGTCTTACATGGCAGCAGGCAAGAGAGCTTGTCCAGGTGAACTCCCATTTATAAAACCATCAGGTCTCATGAGACTTATTCGAGTTACGTCTACCACAAAAACAGTATGGGGAAAACCATCCCCATGATTCAATTATCTCCACCTGGCCCCACCCTTAACACATGGAAATTATTACAATTCAAGGTGAGATTTGGGTGGGGACACAGCCAAACCGTATCAGTCATTCAGTTCAATATAGTTTAGTGAATGTCTACTGCATTCATTTTTTTTTCTTTTCTTTTTCTTTTTTTTTTTTTTTTTGAGATGGAGTTTCACTCTTGTTGCCCAGGCTGGAGTGCAATGGTGTGATCTTGGCTCACCGTAACCTCCACCTCCTGGGGTTCAAGCAATTCTCCTGCCTCAGCCTCCCAAGTAGCTGGGATTACAGGCATGCACCACCATACCCTGCTAATTTTGTATTTTCAGTAGAGATGCAGTTTCTCCATGTTGGACAGGCTGGTCTCGAACTCCCGACCTCAGGTAATCTGCCAGCCTCGGCCTCCCAAAGTGCTGGGATTACAGGCGTGAGCCATCACTTCCTGCCTACTTTATTCATCTTCTGTGCTGCTTAACTACCCACCACAAACTTAGCAGTTCTAAATAACACTCATTAGCTATAGTTTCTGCAGGTCAGAAGTTTACACACAGCTTGGCTGGCTCCTCTGCTGAAGGGTTTTGCCAGCTGCTATCCAGGTGACAGCTGGGGCTGCAATGTCATCAGAAGCTCAACTGATGAAAGATCTGCTCCAAGTTTCTTCAGGCTGTTGGCAGAATTTATTTCCTTGTGGCCGTCAGACTGAGGGTTTCAGTTTCTTGCTGAAGTCTACCCTCAGCTCTTAGAGACTGCTGACAGTTCCTTGCCACGTGGGCTTCTCCAACATGGTCATTTATTTCATGGAAGCTTGTTCCTTCAAAGTCAGCAACAGGGAGAGGGAGAAAGGGAGAGTGATAACAAGACAGACTCCTCTGTAACATAACCATGGGCATGACATCTCATCACCTTTGCCACATCCTATTGGCTAGAAGCAAGCCACAGCCAAGGGGAGGGGATTACACAAAGCTGTAGACTCCAAGAGGCAGCAATCATGGGACATCTTGAAGTCTGTCTGCCACACCTGCTGTTTTAGGCACCAGAGGTACAACAGTGAACATTAAGCCATGTCTTAGACGAAAGCAGCTGGAGAGAAAGAGACAGAGAAAGAAACCATAGATTAAAGAATTAAAGGACATCTATTACATTAAAAGACATATCTATGAATCTCCACGAATCTCAATATCTGGTCCTCATTTGGATCCTAATTTATTTTTTATTTTTTAGAGACAGGTTCTTGCTCTGTTGCCCAGGTTGGAGTGCAGTGGCACAATCAGAGCTCATTGCAGCCTCAAACTCCTGGGCTCAAGTGATCCTCCTGCCTCAGCCTCCTAAGTACCTAGGACCGCAGGTGTGTCCACTGTGCCTGGCTAATTTTTCCTTTTTCTTATTTTTGTAGAGAGGAGGTCTTGCTATGTTGCCTAGACTAGTCTCAAACTCCTGTCCTCAAGTGATCCTCCTGCCTTGGCCTCCCGAAGTGGTGGGATTACAGACATGAGCCACAACACCTGGCCTGGACCCTAATTGTTTTTAATGTAAAAAAAAAAAAAAAACCCTGTTATTTATGAAACAATTGGAAATTTCAATACTAGCTGGGTCTATGATGACATTAAGGACTTATCATTAATTTTTAAAGTATGATCATTATTTTGTGAATGTTGAATGCAGAGTCCGCATCTTTCAGAAATTCATACTGAAATATTACAAATAAAATGATGTGTCCAGGAGATTTTCTTCAAAAACACTATGACAGTGGGAGGAGAAGGTGGGGCTACGGATGAGGCAGAATTCCCAGGAGCTGATCGATGGTTGTGCAGCTGGGATGATGGGCATGTGGGAATTCATCAAACTATTCTATCAGCTTTTATGGGTGTTCAAGATTCTCCACAAGAACATCTTTAAAGATGGGCAAGTATTTGCCCTCATTTGTAATCAGAAATGCAAATGAAAATTATTTGAAACCACCCCTTTGTATCTATCAAATTACTAGAATTTTTTTAAACAGTGGCAATGCCCATTGCACGTGAGGGAGAGATAAAACAGAAGCTCTGATACCTGCTGGGTAGGGGTGGAGAGGAATGGAAGACAAATTGGTCTAGTCTTGGGAAGCATCTTGGCAATATGTATCAACCATCTTTAAAATATTTATGTCCTTTGCTCCAATAATTCCACTTCCGATGATACCCTAAAAATTAACCCTCAAAATGGAAAATGCTTCTGCACAAAGATATTTGTCACAGGCTGTGTAGTAAAGAATCCACCTTACCCAAAAAGCAGTCTGGCCTTTGTTCTCTGCGGCAGGAAGGTGAGCTTTGGGCCCTTGGCATGTCCTGTCTAAGAGTGCCTTTGTTTGCCTGGGGCCTTGGCCACTGGACAGTTTCACAGTGATTTATGATGGGGACATTGGGCCATGCAGTATCCATTTTACCTCTGGAGAGGCTGGAGACTAAAGATCAGCTGCACGGGCAGTCAACTGTGGAACCCCACCAAAATCTCAGGACGCCAAGACTCGAGTGAGCTTCCCTGGTTGCCAGTATTCCGTGTGCATTGTTACACATCAGTGCTGGAAAATGACACTGCCCAGGACTCCATGGGTAAAGGACAACTGGAAACTCCATGCCTGCAACCTTCCTGGACTCTGCCAATTGCATCTCTTTCCTTGGCTGATTTTAATGTGTGCCCTTTAGCTGTAATAACCCATAACTGTGAGTATAACAGCTATCAGTGAGTTCTGTGAGTCTTTCTAGTGAATTATCAAAGCCCACAACGGTTTTTGGAACGCCCCCGGACTTGCAATTGGTGTCAGAAGTGAGGGTGGTCTTGTGCACTGTGCTCCCGCTAACTTCGAGCAGAGTTATTTATAAAAGAAAAAAGGGCCAGGGGCAGTGGCAGGCACCTGTAATCCAAACTACTCAGGAGGCTGAGGCAGGAGAATTGCTTGAACCTGAGAGGCAGAGGTTGCCGTGAGCCGAGATCGCACCATTGCACTCCAGCCTGGGCGGCAGAGTAAGACCCTGTCTCAAAAAAAAAAAAAAAAAGGCCTGGGAACAACTGCAATGTTCAATAAGAGGAACACTGTGTGTTTGATACAGCCATTAAATATAGCACTTATAAAAATATATACTAACATGAAAGCCTGGTGCGGTGGCTCATGCCTGTAATCTCAGCATTTTGGGAGGCTGAGGAAGGAGGATCACTTGAGCCCGAGAGTTCGAGACCAGCCTAGGCAACATGATGAGACCCCCATTGCTACAAAAAATACAAAAATTAGCCTAGGGTGGTGGCGCACGCCTATAGTCCCAGCTACTTGGGGGGCTGAAGCAGGAAGACTGCTTGACCTGGGAGGTTGAGGCTGCAGTGAGATGTGTTTGCCCCACTGCACTCTATCCTGGGTGACAAAGTGAGACCCTGTTATATATATATTTATGTGGGAGGATGGCTACGTAACACATCAAACACAAAATGTTGGAGGCATAGTATCATTACTATACACATGTAGAATTCAAAACACATGTAGAATAACATCCACAGAAATTATAACAAAATGCAAATGAGTATCTGTTTGGGGGTGGTAATACATATGATTTTATTTTCGCATTTTCTACTTCTGTATATTTTTCAAATGGTCTACAATATGCTGATACACGTAGCTTAGTTTGATAACCAGAGGAGTGTGTGTGTGTGTGTCTGTGTGTGTGTGTGTATCTGTAGTTTCTAATTTTAGCCATACTAGGGGCGATTCCATAGCATAAAGAAAGATGGTTCATGACTAGGAACTCCTCAAAACCTCAAATCTGACTCTGTCACTAAAAATGTCACCAAAAGGAAAGAAAGGGAGATGGGATGTAAAGAAATCTAGGCAGCTGCAGAAGGAACTCTGATGGGCACCACTAAAAAGGGGGGAGGACAAATATAAAGGGTCAGAAGAAGAAACAGAAAGCGAGGACCTACACAGAAGGTCACATGAAGCCCTGAGCCGGGCACCAGGCAGCACTAGGAGAGAGAGGGTCATGATGACGGATGATGTGAGTCGATAATGAGGGGCTTCAGCCTGGCAAACCCTTTGAATCACTCCCCGGTCAGTACCAACAGTGAGGGCTTCATTCCTTGAATCAGGCAGGGGGGTCTTGAGTTGATACCATGCCCAAAACACTTTCCTAAATATTGCCTCTATTCTCATGGGCTTCTGTTATTGGCAGAGTGGAATGTGAATTAATAAATAAGCTGACTTTTGGTTAAAGAGTGTCAGAAGTCCGAAGCCAGCAATGAGTTGAGACTTGCAAAAAGAGCCCAGGGCATCACAAATGGCTCCTGCTTTTTAAAGTTAAGTTTAGGGCAAGTATAAAAAAAGATAACACAGGCCACTATTTAGGATCAGTAGTGATTATCAGAAAGAAGGCAGAAGCCCTCCACCCTTAATTTACTTGTCGTTTCTGTCAAATAAAGTCTTTTACCATGAAATGGGTAACACAAATGTTGGTAAGAGGGAATTAAAGCTCCAAGAGGAGAGGTGATAAAAAGTGCACCTGCTCTCTAGCCATGCTAATGAATTAAAGCTGCTTACCTCGATGAATTGCTTTCCAGATGCTGATAACCTTTGAAAATGGGACTGGTAAATTGTCAGTGATCTTGGAGGCAACTAAGAGAACAGAAGATTTTAGAAGATGAGGGTTGGTGCTCTTATAACAAACTACAGCCTAGACATAAAGCACTGCATTTTACTAAGTATTTTTACACAAATTCTCATTTGTTCTTCCCAACAAACAAGTATAGTTGGGCCAAAGTATAGAGGATCAATGTGACCACAAGTGGTAAGGCCCCACCCAGAGGCTTGCAGGTATGATCAGTGGGATCGATACAATTATTCCATCCATTTTACAGTTGAGGAAGTTGAGGCCCAAGTTAGACTCACCAAAGGTCCCACCGAGAATTCATTCTGCAAATACAGGAGCTACTCATGACTGCCAAGCAAGAATCTCAGATCCTAAATAACCTCTGAGCATCTAGAAAACAAAATGGTGATCACAGTGATGCTACACGGGTTCATTAACAACACACACACGCTACATCCAATTGACATCATTTCTGTCTTTGCCATATTAGACTCCTGGATGTGGTCCATCTGTATTTCAGCAAAGGGCTTCTTACTCCCCTTCTGTGTCAGGCACAAGGCTAGGCTGTCCCTTAATGGATGGTTGAAGCATGAGGTGCCCACCAGGAAACCAGGAGAGCTGTGTCAGTGAGGCTAACGTGAGTCAAGGCAGGCCGGCCTCAGAGCCTGGTTACTGTTGAAACCTGCACTTTGTTTTACACTGAGAGTTATATTGCTATAGGCAATAGACTATAACTCTCATACATTGAAGGGAAACTGGACTTACCTGGGAAAAGACTGGAGAATTCATGACACTGATGGGAAGGTGGAGGGTCCAGGCAAGGGTGGCCAGAACTGTCTTATCAGGGCACTCTCGCTGGAATACACGCCTCTGAGTGTTGTCTCAGGGCAGGGGGGCTGTCCTTCTACCACCTAATCAAGATTGAAAGTCCAGGACAGTGAGTCCCACTGCATAGCTTTAGAAATTGTGCCTACCCATTGAGCTTGGGGAAAGGAGGGAGAGAGATGTCATTAAACCTCATGACATGAGAGTGGAGGAAGGCAGATTCTCCAAAGAAAATCGGGGTTATTGCTGGAAATAAGGCAAGCGAGTCACCTTATTGACACTTACGCAGGGCCCATAGAGGGCAGCTTCTTGGGAGAACGCACCTCTGTTTCCAGGGCCCGTGTTAACATGTGGAGGGACTACTGCGAGAAAAACCCCAGAAAATAGATTTTGGTAAAGTATAAGAAAACACTTGCTAAGAGTGGAGCTTTCTGACAAACCGATGAGCAATTATAGGAGGCAGCAGTGATGTTCAGACAATCATTGGGTTTACCAGGAAAGTTGTAGTGAACTCATATATCAGATGGGGAATGGGGCTGGACCACAGAGCAAAGTCCCTGTCAATTCTGAATTTCTGATTCTATCATGAAACAGTGAATGCATGGCCTGGTTCGACAGCACGAGCAGCATCTAGCATAAGAGGGAATATCAATCCTTTACAAAACTCAGAAATTAAAGTTCACTCACACCACTCCTAAGCTGCCATATTTCATAGTCAGCCAAGCTCCTGACACAGGGGTTCAAAGAAATTAAAGTCTTGTTTTTCTTGATGCCCGCGGAGAGTTTGCAGTCACCTGGCTGTGGGCTGCAGCCCTGTGGACGGAAAGCATGTCTGAGTCAGTGCCTGTGTCAGGAGACAGATGGAAGCGGCCACATGACCCCTGGTCCCACATCCATTCCACCAAATGGAGAGACATGACAAGTTTTATTTTCAGGACAGGGCGTCATTGATTATTCCCTGTTAATGCTTCCCTGTCGATGGCGGGCAGGGACTAGAGGGAAATGGAAGGATGTGATATCCGGGCCCCCCAAAGGGAAAATCAATGTGATATGGTTTGATATTTCATCCTAGGATAACCTCTTTCTCTGAGCTCCAACCCACAGGCCACTGTTTCTCTCTCCACCAACTCCACCAGACACCGTCACCTCCTTTCACAGTCACCAAAGGACACAGAGGGAGGAGACAGATGAGGAGTGGGCACCAAAAATGATTAAACTCTGCTTTTGTTTTCTTTTAGGAACATATAGCAACAAAACACTCTACGGGCTGTGCTGAGACTTCCTCAACAGTATCAGATCAGAAGGGAAGAGCCTACTAAGTCAGCTGAAGAAACCCTTGTCTGACTTATTACAGATGCAACCCACAGAACACTAATCTCAAAGGACGACCTTGGAAAACCGACAACCTAGAAACTGCCTGCCCCCTGGCACAATGCGGAAAGTTACAAGTTCAGAGCAAGAGGCAAAGACTTGTAATGCAGGGAAGTGAGAGGGAGAAAGCAACCTCTTTCTTTGTGTACACACACACACACACACACACGTGCGCGCGCGCACACACACACATATCAAACACCAAGTATTTATGTTCCCCCTCCCCCAAAGGAATCCAACATTCAAAACAAAACTCTTATGAATCTTGTATGTAACAGAAAGGGGAATTTTTGTTCCTTCTGGGGTTTCAGGGTAAAGAGGAAACACCACCACTTTATTATCTTTTAAATGGGGATGCAAAACAATAATATCCAGATACTTAAAGGTATGCTCACCCTTTGGTTCCAGACAAGGCATCTTGTTAGCATTTAACCTCATCAGCGCTGTAGCCACACAGATCCAGAAACTGTGTTAGTTTATTTTGTGCTGCTTAGTTTATTTTGCAGTGTTGCTTCTGGAAAGCTCCAGGTTGTTCACTGCTTTTTCCTTTTCACATAGGAGTTGCGCTGGGAGAAGTGAATAGATGGTTTTCCCTGCTTTCCTTGCTCCCTGGGGACAGGAATCAGGGACTGAGCCCTCTGCCTGGGAAAGGCTGAACCAGGTGAACTGCAACAGGCTTTTCCAACTCTGATTCTATGTAGGGTTCCTGTGGTACAGACTCATGGGGCTGAGCCAAGGAGTCTGTTTTCTGCCTGTTGGGGGAATTGGGCAACTCATGTTTTACATACCGATGCAGTGTGGATATCAATTCTACTGGAGTTCTTGTAAGTACTACTTTATCCAATGCATTCGTAAATGTATAGGATTATATCTGTGTTACTCACAGGAGCTACTGTTTAATATCTTAAACTAAAAGCATGTGTCTTCACAGGAGCATGATTCATTTCGGTTATGCAATTCACAAATGACCTGCAAGGATGCTGCCACTGAAGCTGTGGGTTGCAAACATCCTACACAGTGTTGCTGCACACCCCTGGATTTGTCTCTCCACAGGGAATCAACTTCACACTTTGGGTTCTACCCCATCGACTGGTCACAGTCATTCCTGCCTGAGTCACTCTCCCCTGGACTCTGGTACACCATTGGTCTCATTTCCCTACGGCCTGGGGTCTTTCCTCCACCCCACACTGGCCAGTCAGGGGCTCAGGTCTTTTGAGGTTAGGAGAAGAGGGAGAAACAAACACTGGCAAGCACTTAGTCCCACACCAGTGATATGGTGTAGGAGGGTGAGTATCCTAATCAGAACAGATGCTGGCCAAAAGACTCAGGGTCAGAATCCCAATGTGTCTGACGCTGTGGAAGTTTCTTTTCAAACAATGTGGAGAATATACACGGCCTGACAGCCTATTTGAAAAGAAAATGCCATGGGCCCTCAAGGATCCCCAAACTGCAGGAGGGTTGGAGCTCGCGGACACTCCAGGAGGGAGGGACTCTGTATAATACTTCCTGCTGAGGCTCTGGGCTTAAAGGGGAGCTGGGACTGCACATGCCCTCCCCTCAGCTCTCAGATATCCGCTTACATTCAAAAACACCTTTCCATGCTCATACACTTTTTTTGGGCTTTCATTTGCCTTGTTTCATTGAATAAAATACGCTTCCAGAAAAATGCACAATCATAAGTGTACAGGTCCATGTACACTCTCTTTTACAAAGAGAACTGTCTTAGTTTATTTCGTACTGCTGTAACAGAACACCTGAGACTGGATAATTTACAAATAAGAGAAGTTTACTTTTCACAGTTCTGGGGGCTGGGAAGTCCAAGATCAAGGCATCAAAATCTGATGAGAACCTTCTTGCTGCATCCTCACACAGCAGATGGTGGAAGGAGGTGAACTCACACCCACGAGCCCTTTTTATAGCATCATTAATTCATTCACGAGCCTTCAGTGAACTTTAATTTCTGAGGTTTGTAGGGGATTGGTATTCCCTCATACGCTAGATGTTACGCTTGCTGTCAAAACCAGGCCATGCATTCACTCTTTCATGATAGACTCGGGATACAGCAAGAACACATCCTCTAAACAAAGACAGAACATGACCACAATTTCCACAGGCCCTTCTTCTCCCTCCAGTGACTACTCACATCTACAGCAAGCACAATCCTGATTTGTAACAGCAAAGTTCAGGTTTGCATCTTCTCAACCCTGTATAAATGGAATCATATAATGCGTTCTCATCTTTGACTTCTTTTGCTCAACACTGTAATTCTGAGATTCATACATGTTGCTGCGTACAGTTTGTTAATCCTCATTTCTGTATAGTGTTCTGTTCTATGAATATACCACCACTTAGGAATTCATTACCCTATTGATGGGTACTGGTATCATTTCCAGTTTTCACTGTTATATGTAGCACTATTGTGTACATATGTTTTGATGCATATATGGATGTATATGTATGTTTCTATGGGGTTTGTGCTTCAGAGTGGAATTTCTGGTAGATTGGGTTTGTGTATGTTCAGCTTTAATGAACATTGTCAAATAACTTTCCAAAGTGGTTGTACAAATTTACTCCCTGACAGTAGTTTATGAGGGTGTTCACTGTTCCATATCCTTGAATGTGTAGTAATATTGCATTGGGTTTTCATTTGCATTTCATGGATGACTAATGACATTTAAGCACCTTTTGATGTGTCTATTGGCCATTCGGATATTCTCTTTTGTGATGTTTTCTTCAAGTCATTTGCCCATAATTTCACTGGATCATCTGTTTGTTTTAATTGATTTGTAGTACTTTTAAAAATAGATTCTGAATGCAAGTCTTTGTCAAATATTTGTGTTACAGGTATAATCTCCTTTTTTATGGCTTGCTTTTTTACTAATGGGGTCTTTTGATATATAGAACATTTCAACTTTAATATAATTCAATAATTATAGTAATCATTTTCTTTCTCTTCCTAGATAGTGCTTTTGGTATTTTATTTTATTTTATTTTATTTATTTATTTATTTATTTTATTAAACTTCAAGTTGTAGGGTACATGTGCACAACGTGCAGGTTTGCTACATATGTATACTTGTGCCATGTTGGTGTGCTGCACCCATCAACTCGTCATTTACATCAGGTATAACCCCCAATGCAATCCCTCTCCCCTCCCCCCTCCCCATGATAGGCCCCGGTGTGTGATGTTCCCCTTCCCGAGTCCAAGTGATCTCATTGTTCAGTTCCCACCTACGAGTGAGAACATGCGGTGTTTGGTTTTCTGTTCTTGTGATAGTTTGCTAAGAATGATGGTTTCCAGCTGCATCCATGTCCCTACAAAGGACACAAACTCATCCTTTTTTATGGCTGCATAGTATTCCATGGTGTATATGTGCCACATTTTCTTAATCCAATCTGTCACTGATGGACATCTGGGTTGATTCCAAGTCTTTGCTATTGTGAATAGTGCTGCAATGCAGGTATACTTCTATGGGGTCGCTTCAGAGGGAATTTGTAGACTGGGTTTGTGGCAAATTAGCTGGAATGAACATTGTCAACAACTTTCCAAAGTGGTTGTACCCCATCTCTGACAGTAGTTTATGAGGTGTCACTGTTCCATATCCTTGAATGTATAGTAATATTGTATTGGGTTTTCATTTGCATTTCATGGATGACTAATGACATTTAAGCACCTTTGATGTGTCTATTGGCCATTCGGATATTCTCTTTGTATGTTTCTTCAAGTCATTTGCCCATAATTTCACTGGATCATCTGTTTGTTTTAATTGATTTGTAGTACTTTTAAAAATAGATTCTGAATGCAAGTCTTTGTCAAATATTTGTGTTGCTATGTATAATCTCCTTTTTTATGGCTTGCTTTTTTACTAATGGGGTCTTTTGATATATAGAACATTTCAACTTTTAATATATAATTCATTAATTATAGTAATCATTTTTCTCTTCCAGATAGTGCTTTTGTATTTTGGGCTGCATAGTATTCCATGGTGTATATGTGCCACATTTTCTTAATCCAATCTGTCACTGATGGACATTTGGGTTGATTCCAAGTCTTTGCTATTGTGAATAGTGCTGCAATAAACATACGTGTGCATGTGTCCTTATAGCAGCATAATTTATAATCCTTTGGGTATATACCCAGTAATGGGATGGCTGGGTCATATGGTACATCTAGTTCTAGATCCTTGAGGAATCGCCATACTGTTTTCCATAATGGTTGAACTAGTTTACAATCCCACCAACAGTGTAAAAGTGTTCCTATTTCTCCACATCCTCTCCAGCACCTGTTGTTTCCTGACTTTTGAATGATCGCCATTCTAACTGGTGTGAGATGGTATCTCATTGTGGTTTTGATTTGCATTTCTCTGATGGCCAGTGATGATGAGCATTTTTTCATGTGTCTGTTGGCTGTATGAATGTCTTCTTTTGAGAAATGTCTGTTCATATCCTTTGCCCACTTTTGGATGGGGTTGTTTGTTTTTTTCTTGTAAATTTGTTTGAGTTCTTTGTAGGTTCTGGATATTAGCCCTTTGTCAGATGAGTAGATTGCAAAAATTTTCTCCCATTCTGTAGGTTGCCTGCTCACTCTGATGGTAGTTTCTTTTGCTGTGCAGAAGCTCTTTAGTTTGATGAGATCCCATTTGTCAATTTTGGCTTTTGCTGCCGTTGCTTTTGGTGTTTTAGACATGAAGTCTTTGCCCATGCCTATGTCCTGAATGGTACTACCTAGGTTTTCCTCTAGGATTTTTATGGTATTAGGTCTAACATTTAAGTCTCTAATCCATCTTGAATTAATTTTCGTATAAGGAGTAAGGAAAGGATCCAGTTTCAGCTTTCTACTTATGGCTAGCCAGTTTTCCCAGCACCATTTATTAAATAGGGAATCCTTTCCCCATTTCTTGTTTCTCTCAGGTTTGTCAAAGATCAGATGGCTGTAGATGTGTGGTATTATTTCTGAAGACTCTGTTCTGTTCCATTGGTCTATATCTCTGTTTTGGTACCAGTACCATGCGGTTTTGGTTACTGTAGCCTTGTAGTATAGTTTGAAGTCAGGTAGCGTGATGCCTCCAGCTTTGTTCTTTTGACTGAGGATTGTCTTGGAGATGCGGGCTCTTTTTTGGTTCCATATGAACTTTAAAGCAGTTTTTTCCAATTCTGTGAAGAAGCTCATTGGTAGCTTGATGGGGATGGCATTGAATCTATAAATTACCTTGGGCAGTATGGCCATTTTCACGATATTGATTCTTCCTATCCATGAGCATGGTATGTTCTTCCATTTGTTTGTGTCCTCTTTGATTTCACTGAGCAGTGGTTTGTAGTTCTCCTTGAAGAGGTCCTTTACATCCCTTGTAAGTTGGATTCCTAGGTATTTTATTCTCTTTGAAGCAATTGTGAATGGAAGTTCATTCCTGATTTGGCTCTCTGTTTGACTGTCACTGGTGTATAAGAATGCTTGTGATTTTTGCACATTAATTTTGTATCCTGAGACTTTGCTGAAGTTGCTGATCAGCTTAAGGAGATTTTGGGCTGAGACAATGGGGTTTTCTAAATATACAATCATGTCGTCTGCAAACAGGGACAATTTGACTTCTTCTTTTCCTAACTGAATCCCCTTGATTTCTTTCTCTTGCCTGATTGCCCTAGCCAGAACTTCCAACACTATGTTGAATAGGAGTGGTGAGAGAGGGCATCCCTGTCTTGTGCCAGTTTTCAAAGGGAATTTTTCCAGTTTTTGCCCATTCAGTATGATATTGGCTGTGGGTTTGTCATAAATAGCTCTTATTATTTTGAGGTACGTTCCATCAATACCGAATTTATTGAGCGTTTTTAGCATGAAGGGCTGTTGAATTTTGTCAAAAGCCTTTTCTGCATCTATTGAGATAATGATGTGGTTCTTGTCTTTGGTTCTGTTTATATGCTGGATTATGTTTATTGATTTGCGAATGTTGAACCAGCCTTGCATCCCAGGGATGAAGCCCACTTGATCATGGTGGATAAGCTTTTTGATGTGCTGCTGAATCCGGTTTGCCAGTATTTTATTGAGGATTTTTGCATCGATGTTCATCAGGGATATTGGTCTAAAATTCTCTTTTTTTGTTGTGTCTCTGCCAGGCTTTGGTATCAGGATGATGTTGGCCTCATAAAATGAGTTAGGGAGGATGCCCTCTTTTTCTATTGATTGGAATAGTTTCAGAAGGAATGGTACCAGCTCCTCCTTGTACCTCTGGTAGAATTCAGCTGTGAATCCATCTGGTCCTGGACTTTTTTTGGTTGGTAGGCTATTAATTATTGCCTCAATTTCAGAGCCTACTATTGGTCTATTCAGGGATTCAACTTCTTCCTGGTTTAGTCTTGGAAGAGTGTAAGTGTCCAGGAAATTATCCATTTCTTCTAGATTTTCCAGTTTATTTGCGTAGAGGTGTTTATAGTATTCTCTGATGGTAGTTTGTATTTCTGTGGGGTCGGTGGTGATATCCCCTTTATCATTTTTAATTGCGTCGATTTGATTCTTCTCTCTTTTCTTCTTTATTAGTCTTGCTAGTGGTCTGTCAATTTTGTTGATCTTTTCAAAAAACCAACTCCTGGATTCATTGATTTTTTGGAGGGTTTTTTGTGTCTCTATCTCCTTCAGTTCTGCTCTGATCTTAGTTATTTCTTGCCTTCTGCTAGCTTTCGAATGTGTTTGCTCTTGCTTCTCTAGTTCTTTTAATTGCGATGTTAGAGTGTCAATTTTAGATCTTTCCTGCTTTCTCTTGTGGGCATTTAGTGCTATAAATTTCCCTCTACACACTGCTTTAAATGTGTCCCAGAGATTCTGGTATGATGTATCTTTGTTCTCATTGGTTTCAAAGAACATCTTTATTTCTGCCTTCATTTCGTTATGTACCCAGTAGTCATTCAGGAGCAGGTTGTTCAGTTTCCATGTAGTTGAGCGGTTTTGATTGAGTTTCTTAGTCCTGAGTTCTAATTTGATTGCACTGTGGTCTGAGAGACAGTTTGTTATAATTTCTGTTCTTGTACATTTGCTGAGGAGTGCTTTACTTCCAATTACGTGGTCAATTTTGGAGTAAGTACGATGTGGTGCTGAGAAGAATGTATATTCTGTTGATTTGGGGTGGAGAGTTCTATAGATGTCTATTAGGTCTGCTTGCTGCAGAGATGAGTTCAATTCCTGGATATCCTTGTTAACTTTCTGTCTCGTTGATCTGTCTAATGTTGACAGTGGAGTGTTGAAGTCTCCCATTATTATTGTATGGGAGTCTAAGTCTCTTTGTAAGTCTCTAAGGACTTGCTTTATGAATCTGGGTGCTCCTGTATTGGGTGCATATATATTTAGGATAGTTAGCTCTTCCTGTTGAATTGATCCCTTTACCATTATGTAATGTCCTTCTTTGTCTCTTTTGATCTTTGATGGTTTAAAGTCTGTTTTATCAGAGACTAGTATTGCAACCCCCGCTTTTTTTTGTTCTCCATTTGCTTGGTAAATCTTCCTCCATCCCTTTATTTTGAGCCTATGTATGTCTCTGCGTGTGAGATGGGTCTCCTGAATACAGCAGACTGATGGGTCTTGACTCTTTATCCAGTTTGCCAGTCTGTGTCTTTTAATTGGAGCATTTAGTCCATTTACATTTAAGGTTAAGATTGTTATGTGTTAACTTGATCCTGCCATTATGATATTAACTGGTTATTTTGCTCGTTAGTTGATGCAGTTTCTTCCTAGCCTTGATGGTCTTTACATTTTGGCATGTTTTTGCAATGGCTGGTACCGGTTGTTCCTTTCCATATTTAGTGCTTCCTTCAGGGTCTCTTGTAAGGCAGGCCTAGTGGTGACAAAATCTCTAAGCATTTGCTTATCTGTAAAGGATTTTATTTCTCCTTCACTTATGAAACTTAGTTTGGCTGGATATAAAATTCTGGGTTTAAAATTCTTTTCTTTAAGAATGTTGAATATTGGCCCCCACTCTCTTCTGGCTTGAAGAGTTTCTG